AGCAGGTATCAACCCACTGTATGAAGATCAACTTCGTCATGTAGACTGTAGATGAACTAACTTTGAAACTATGACCAATTGTTTGAGGGTTAAAGGGATAAGCTGATGAGTTAGACAGCATAACTATGTAGATAGTTAAGAAAGATCAATTTCGTCAGCTCGTCACTGCTTATATTAACCTAACAGATGGTAATACGTAATTGTTTCATTTTACAATTAAAATTGAGTATCTTACAGAAAACGTAACTTCAGTTGATGAGTGCAAAGTACGCTTGATTCTATGTACACATTTTATATTTAGACATTTTAAACGCGAATGATTGCGAAACTCATTGGTCTATGCTATTTCTTTAATGTATTCATAGGATTTGCCAATGCAAAATCGAAAAATACGTTGTAACATGAATCAAACCCATTCAAACTTTAGAATGTATTCTTAGTTAGAGGAACCTAGAAAAACCTCAAAAAGGATAACACTGAATTATAGTTCCAGTGTGGTATCAAAGATAGAACTTGCTAGTAAAACAAAAAGACTTTTTCGTAATCCCTCACAATGGAGTTATGGCTCAGTGGTATAGGGTAATGATCTATCAACCACTGGGTCATGTGTTCGGGCCCCGGCTTCACCTACCGAGGTCTGAACAGCCAAGTAGCATAACTAGCCCTCACACAATAGATGTAGCTCATTGCCTACTACACAGATGTGCAAAAGGTGGCTGAGTAGGTCTTTAGTTATGCCTTGTGAAGACAAAATAACGCAATAAATATATTAGCAAAATGAAATAATCAACGCTGCCTAGAACAACCTGGTGATTTGATGTTTATTCGTTTAGCTGTTACGGAAATATGATCACACCTACTGAGGATTAGACAACCGTGTGCTTTTACTTCAAACATTATGTCTTACGGTTTAGTATGTGAACAAACAAATAGGTTTAATATGACAGTAGCCCACACCGGGTGGTAAAACAAACGACACAGACAGAAAGGATACTGATCATTCCAGTAGAGCCAGACTTGTGTTTCCATCCCCTGCTCAAATCACTAAACAAAGCTCTCTTAAGCAATACAAATCGACGAATAAAAATTCACTCATCATCAAGCAGAATTCTGTCAACGAATGTGTAATATCTACTTTGTTTCATTTAGATCCAAGACTGAGAAACCATTATGATTGAAGTTACTTAATTGTAAGGATACCAGCCTATGTGAACAACCAGTGTTTATAGATTCCTCTGTGTTGCAATATAATGAAAATACCTTTTGTTTGTTGTATTCTCCTACTGAAAATAAATTTTACTGGGCATACTCATGCTGTGGATACCCTCTAGAAGAAAAACTTCGAAAATATGCTAATTAGTTGTTTAACATGAGAGACAGACAATAAAAAAGTCTAAGTGAAAAATAAGCCTCCTTTAGATAACCACTAACAGTACTCAGTAACAGATACACATAGATAGGTGGGCTCGAATAAAGGATTCCACCATCTTAGTAAAAAAAATCTTTTTATGGGTATTAATTTATAACAAAACTTCAGTATCTTTCTTCAGTCATTTTCACAGCACGGCTCGTTTAACATTTGCCAATGTATGATGGCTAGAAAGCCAATAATTGAGCTTAACGGTCGTCTCGAAATGTAAACTATTGAGTGAAGTGGGATTAAGTTGCAGTAAAATTAAGCTTGGAGACAAGAAGACGCGCCAGAAATCCATGAGTTAACTGACTTTCGTTCACAGCTATGTATGGAATTTGATGTTATTTGGCTACAGTGAACGAAACATCAGGAATCAGTAGTCGAAGAGCTTCACTGACATAACTCATAATCAGTTACATAACAAGTATCTAATCATTATTTATCTACTTCAAAATCAAATTAACTTTCACTTAACTGTTCTTTACATATTATATCATGTGCTGTTTTAAATTCTGACCATATGAACCAACACAGTTTATCGTGTCTGTTTGGTTTTCATAGGAGCACTTTCAAGCAACAAGTGACGGGGTCGAACCCTGCTTCATTCTCTTTTGGCCTGTGCTAACAGGTTAGTACCACAAGACAAAGTGGAAATAACAATCAAATTTCGTGAAATTCATGAGGACAGATAAAGAGGAGTCAAAGTAAACAATGAGATAGCATATAGTGATTAAGATGAAAGGAGAGTATGAGTGCATTTGCACCACTGCCATTGGTTCTAAACCATGGACTAAAGATATGTCTTCGTGTGGTAACCTTTAGTCTTTTCTTAACAGTTCCAACTTCGACCGTACAGCAGTTTCAACGAATAGCTTATTACATCAATCTGAATGTATTTTAAGTATCTTAATTCGAAGTAAAACTGGGTTTGAAGAAAGCTTAGGACGGTCAGATTAAAATATGGCATCAGCTCACGATGTCTCTGACGGTTGGAGTGAGTTGTGTCCGGAGATGCAGGCTGCTCGCCAGGGTTTCCAAGATGACAGCAACTTATGGTTGGAAACTAAGTGATAGGCCGAAAAATTGGTCGCAATGGTTAAGATATATACACTCTGTCATTTTTGAAGTCATGAATATTTTCAGTGACCATCTTCTCCCCTCAAGTATCATGTACACTTGTTTACCCTTGATATAACTCCTTTTATATCCACTTTTTATCAATTACATACTGCTGTTAAGTGTGGCAACTGTCAGTTATTTTAAGCTCAGTGAAATAAAAAGGACTTCAAGTTTTAAGTCAACACTAGATTCAATGTTCATTTTTTCCGGTTGAGCTTCGATCATCGAATTTCCTCAGAAAGCACGCAATCAAGTTTAAACATCATAATATCAAGTTTCTTTAAACAAACATGAGTGAATAACCATCTGACGGAATATTTCGTCGTTCATTCACATCCTTTATTCCTCTATAAGAGGAAGAAACGCTAAAACCGCCTTTATAAAAACATGAAACATGAAATGGAGACATGCGTAGCTAATTTCTTATCAGTAAAAGGGTAATACACAAAGTTCCATTAAAAACTACCTAACTACTCAAAACTTCCATAATTATTGTCTTATTAAGAAAACTGCTATAGAGGATAGACACAGTTGAGTCAGTGATAGGCAAGTACAATATGGCACTGCTCAAAAAAGTGCAATGGTTGTGGTTGCTGAATACACTACACGTGGATAGCAACACAATATAATTCAGCCTTGTACATGTTTATTTACAAAACTTTGAGTTGCACATCCTACAAAGGCCTTTGATACTGCCCGATCACCTAGGCTGAAGTAGGAGGAGGATTCGAACCTGGGACCCATTGTATGGAAGTCAAGTCCGTAAGCTGATGAGCCAGACCACCAGAAACGTATAAAAAATTGTTAGAAAAAAGGAAATAAACGATAAGGAATAAATATGCATGAAGCGGTATGATGTTTACAACTTTAAAGCAAGTTAGTGAACATATCGACGCCAATTATTTTGTCACACCACCCAGACGTCCCGACCACCGATTTCTACTGCTCTTACGAACCAGTTTGGTAGCCTACGTATATCTCTATGCAGATCACAACAAAAAACAGTAATTTCATTACGTGTCGTAGAGCAGTACGGAATATATTCGAGTATATTCACTCACTGATAGATATTCAGATTAGTAAATGCTAAGCTGAACTCCTGTATCCATGTCAAGATTTTGTCAGGGGCTAGTATATCAGAGGTAATGTAACCTTCTAAATAAGTGAGGGGGTGGATCAGTTTAGTCGCTCTAATCTTTAATCTTCAACCAGTTGTGAAGCGCATGTCAAATATTTTCGAAACTTCTGATCAGGACTTTCAGAAGACTATTTAACTTGTGAACATTCATACCTAATACGAATATAACCAGAGTACTTTAGATGGATCAGGAGTTCTCTGGGCAGCAAACCAATCAAAAAAATGTACATCAGTAAGCCTACAGTAAAGATGAAAATAATGGTTACAATAAGTGCCTTTGGTGGGTACCACCACCTCCAATCAAATGAAATAAAAACTCTACATAAGATGACACAAAGGGATTAAGCTCAAATGGGCATTTTAGTAGCCCAATGTACTTTTAATATTTCCTCCATAGTTAAGTGGTGCTACAAGGCTAAGTAGTGCCGCGTGCTTTATGCTTTTATTCCAGAGTTCCAGAATCTGTAGGACGGTCACGAAGTGATGGAAGCACCTACAAAAAAATCTGACTGGTGTTTCGGGTTCACATTATTTCCCCTCCATATTAACAACGATAAGATGAAGCAGCAAGGAATAATATGAATAAGGTCCTCAGTAGTGAATACCAAATTTATAAAGCGCTAGAACATGAATCCTACATCTATCGGTTGTATACAGTATAGTGAAATAAAGTGGTCTTGCACTAACCAGGTGTGAGATTTCGTCACCACCTAAACTACCTCAAAACAGAGGTGGATTCATTCAATCCTGCCTTTTAAAAACTTGCATTATGAAAGAAAAGTCAGTCACGTTCACTTCCAGTCCTCTGACTGGTGGCCTGGGGTATGTACGGATATAGGCTGGTGGACCCTGTGAAACGACAGGAATCAACGATTAGAGACTTGCTCGTATAGCTCAGTTTCGATGACGGTAGTAAAGATGTATGGACTCTATGACATCTTCGGAGCTTCAGATATATTTATTAATCTCCACTCATCATTCTCTCTCTTCTCATACACTTTTATCTACTTTAATTTCAATTTTCTTTTTTGAGTACAACTGTAAAGTGTGACAACTGAAACTGATGCACTTTTGAACCATGTTCTACATCGATTTGTCTGTCTACTTCCAGTGAAACCTTATTTCTGAACGTATCTTCTAAAGCATACATAGTGAAATGAGGCTCAGGTCTAACCAAAAGTGTCACCAACATCTTATCAGAAAGGTTTCACTCTTAAATATAGTCTTTACAATCACTAAAAATACTTGCATCACAAAACTGCACTTTATGAATGCCATTAAAGGATATTTCTCATAGAAACATGAAGACATTTAACTAAATGAACTCACTTTGTTCTGCCTTATAGGCATTTACCCTCCAAATTAATGAGAATAAAATATGTAAAATTATCCAGCAATTACAAAGAATGTACATGTTTTCAATTTCTCATATTAAATAAAATATATCTCGTATGTAATTTAAGTCAATTCATGATGTATGCACCATGATTGTTTGATAAACATCCTCCGGTGTTTACAGTTCATGATTTAAGCGTTCATTTAAGCGACAATGACTACAATGGAAATTCGTAACAGTATGCGAGCTAACCATTTTGTCCATTCAGATCATTTCTACCAGATAGACTATTTAACCAATCAGATAATGATGTAGTTTAACAAGGTCATTTCATTTAAAATTAATGAGTGGGTGGCATGACTAAATTTCAATTTAATTGGTTAACAGTGTCTAGAGGATAAATGTATCCATCCTGGTTGAAAAACTTATGACGGTTAGAAAACAGATGGTAGTGTACAAGAAAGATTTCTTGATTCACCATAGACCATACGGACTAACAACTGTTCGTAATACGAAATGAACTAGATCTCTAAAAGACTGAGATTAGTTTAAAGATGACCTTTTAAAACAAGTTCATATTTCGAGACGAATTAAAAGGCACTTGATCGAAATATACAGGTTGATTCATTACAAAAACCCACAGCTTTCATATGATTTCACATTAGGAACATTCAAGTGTTGTCCTAATGAGGTTTAGCTTTGTGTAATCTTGGTAAACTACAAAAATAAGCACAAGATGAAATGATAGTTGAATAGCACAGCCTGTAAATGTGAATCACGTTACGGTTTTACGTGAAATAACCCAACCAATGAAACACTGAATAATGCCGTTCGGAGGTCAAAGTACTGAAACATCTCCTGTTAGTATTATTTGTTGATATTTGTATTTCTCCGTTGTTATGCTGGATCGAATTGGTCGACCTCTGTTGGCATTTGGGCTGTTAGGTGTACGCCTCGATATTGCCTGAATATTTATTGGCTTCTACTGTTAGCTACAACCAAGTCAATTATAACAGTAAATATTCAGGCTATATCGAGGCATCGACATATGAGCCCATATGCCAACAGAAATCGGTGAGTTCTATCCAATATAGCAAGGGAGAATTAGAAGTATCAATAAATAACAATAACTAATACCCGTTGTACAAGAGCTGACTCTCGTGACTCAGTGACCTGGTCGATAACGCTTTGGCGTTTGAAGCGATGGGTACGAGGTTCGAGTGTCAGTGGGAACAACATCACTCACTGGGGTGCAAGTACACCCAACTGAAGAGTCCTAAATGAGACGAAACGCTCATCCTTGATCCCACTGCTAGCCAACATGCTTCTCATTCTGTTTATTCAAGTTATTTGGTAGTGGAGAATCACGTATAGCGCTGCACCCATGTTCAGTCTTCTTTAACTGAAGTAAACATTTTAACTCCGAGAGCTTTCTTTCCGGAAAGTGCTGAACCACTATTCTTTTACTGTCCTGTCAGATTCGTGTCAGAATAAACACAGTGAGTGCAGCAAAGCATAGCGTAAACCTGAAATGTGCAGCCATTTTATGTGAAAGACATTCATTTAGGCTACATTGCTTCATGTTTTACAGTCCTAGGTTTGTCTGATGATCAGGTTTTGAGGATGTGTTTCCGATAATTGACGAGACTAACTCAGATAGCCATGATTTGGCACTTTGGCATTATCTATGTGGGGTGATGATTAAAGGTGAGGCGAAAAGTCTTGGTGATTAAAGTTTATACGTGGTCAGAAGTTGGGTTTCGTAGCTCAGTGTGTAGACAGTCTAGCCAGTCATTTGAAAGCCACTGGTTTAACTCTCCCCCACCCCTAACCAGGTCTTCACTTCACTTTCGTGAAATGCGGTTTAGAAACTCTGGAGTTTAGAAATACCGAAATGACTAATCCATATATGTTCGATGTAACGATAACTTAAGAGGGATTGGAAATAAAATATCCAGTAAAGCTGGTAGAAAAAGGAACGATTTTCCTGTCGACTAGGACTGTACCCTTCACTTGCCAAGTGGTTACGTAATTCATAAAATGATGCTCGCTGGGTTAGAGAAGCAAACAGCAGGGAACCTTGGATTTCAACTTAAAGCTTACTATGTATATACACCTTGATAGTGTGTGCCAGTCAACTTTGTAGCCAGCCTGAAACATTCATTTGACGCCGAAAGCTAGACAGTATGACTCATTACCTATATTATGCATAAAGCCAGCAGGTAGGAAAAATTGAAGTTGAATTATCAAAACATCCTAAAAAGAGAAGTAATAACTTTGTTCAAATATTTAATGATTGATCTGTATTTGGAAACTGCTCAAGGTCAAGGAGGGATCACGGATAGTTGGGATTTCAACAAACCAGTATACTACTGATTTGTATCATTTTTATTTACTACTCGCACTTCCTCCGTATACCCGTGAGGACATGGTACCTTGAGAACGAAGTTATGCTCAGCAAAAGTTAGGAGTCACAGACGTGTGTGATTATTACTTAAGCCTGCGTAAGTTAGGCAGCTGTACATTATTAGACGGTGTTATTATTGAGCTGACGGCCCGTAAACTCAGGCCTCCATAGAATGACAATTAGGATTAATCCTATTAAATAAAAGTCTTGGTGAAGATAAAAGAGTCATTAGATCAGAAAAGCAATCCTAACGGATAACTGAGAGTGTCGATAACAATATTTATTCAGTTAAGTCACTCAGGATAGTAACAGTTCCTGAAAGCGATTTTTAAATCATATATATATATATATATAACTTATATGTTCACCTCTTTCAAACAGTCAGAGGATTACTGAATAGTGAAAGTCGTATAATTTCGAAGAGGCAGACGACTATCGATATTGACGAGACTTTTGAAGCATAACACACTCGTGAAAAAATTGAGCAGTTAGGGACCACTCAGCCACCCCAGCCATATCAGAGTGATCTAAAAACGGGATGCTCATTTCACTTGTTCGCAACCAAGCTTATTAGTGGCGTATCCAAACAAATTGAGCTCACACAACTGAGTTGTTCGGATGACCTAGATCTGGTTAACTGATTTTTTTGGACCAGCATGCCCGAAATAGGATGATCATTTTGCAAATGGTGGTGTCAATAGAGTTTCCGTTGGTACGCCACTGATGCGCTCGGCTTCGAAAGAGCGAAACGACCTTCCAGTGTTTAGAATTCTCTGATCTGGTTGGCGAAACCTACCGATCAGCCTGAGTAGTTTTTAACTGCCCAAGTTGTTCAGCAATATGTTTCGTCAGTTTATAACACTTCTGTGTCAGAGATCGTACCTCGTGATCTCGGCTGGGAGGTTTCCGACAGAAACTTTGTTGACACCACAGTTGGGCAACTGAATAACTACTCAATGGAGAGAAATATCAGTGCAGACCATGGAATTTGTAAATCGTTTGCAAGTTGACCTTTGAAGCATATTTCAGGAGTAATTTAAGCCTCACTAATGTGTTTCAGCATGACGAATCAATCATGCCTACCTATGAATTAACATTCGGCATATTTTCAGTATCTATTATGAAGTGTAGGTCAACTAATTTGATAAAAATTAGCAGTTAGTAGAAACAGAAATTCTACTACAATTTGATACAGGAAATAATAGACAGATAATTCCCGTAATTGTAAAACTGTTCAACGCTATCCACATGTTATTCATAGTAATCAAACAAATCTATCTTTACGCTTCGTGAAAGCATGAGATAACACAGGCTCATTAGTGTCACCATAATGGTGTCAATTAGCAGCTTCTCAGAAGGATTTCTTAGCAGTAAATTTAGGCTAGTAAGTAGGGAATTAGAAGAATTTATTTCAAGGTGATGCGCCGAGGGTTTACTTCACTTATCGACACGAATATACGAATACAATGATTATTTTTATCGAGAAAATAAAGGACTATTTCGTCATCATCTGATGACATGCATAAATTCTGTTTTGGTATTTGAGAATAAGGACGAAAGAACTCATCTCATTCCTTGGATAAGAGACTTATCGACTTATTTATTGCAAAACAATTACTGAGTAAATCAGTGAGAATTTCTCATTTATTGTGACGTCATTGTATAATGGCATGATTGGTGTGAATGCCGTTAAATATCATCAGTATAACTGTCATCTAGGCTTATTTCACCGGGGATAACTACTACGACTCACTAGCTTGAAGTATAATTCTAAATTATTTGAAGTATCTCCCTTCAAATGTGACACAAAATGATATGACAATAGAAGAAAGACCCTGGAGTGTACATTTTATCCCATTTCAGACTCATATCTACCCCTGAACTCTAGTGTTCATTTGGCTTGAATATTGAGTTTCGAAATGTAGATCACCAATGGACATCGTTAGTCTGGTGTGATCAGATTTATTCAAAGTGTATTTCAGAAATGCATTGAACTCTAGTAAGTGGTTTCATCCGCTGTTTTTAATGCTGAAAACATTTCTGTATTTCATTTGGGAGGTTTGTAGTGAACTGATTGACCTTAAAAAGCAACTTTCATCATAGTGTCTTGCTAGTTATAGTTATAGATATTTATGCTTAATTACATTACAGCAAAATGATTTATTGTTTGAGACTTATGGGTTTGTTCAAGGAAGTATTCATAACCGACTGGCATCAGTTGGTGGGCGGGGGGGGGGGAGTGCGTGCGTACTTCTGACGAGTCTCATACTGGGGCGAAACAGCTGCCCAGTGCTCCTAGGTTTTCAATGGTTCTCCAACTGATGTGAGTCTGTGACAAATAATACCTTAAAAGCAAAATAATTTTTAGCTTTTACACGTTAGGTAATTTTTTTTCAGCCTTTTGACTGAGCGTTATTCTGTGTCAACGTCAGTTGTTCACGTTTCATTTCGTTCGATTGCTTCACTTCAGCATAACAGTTATGTTACTTTTGAAGGATCTAGTATTGGATCCTGAAGATATGTGTTCCGCAATACTAAATTTATATCAGGCGCTTGAAAACAATTGGTAGAAAAATCCTGCTTTGCATAAGTTTTATGCTTATTGGCACTTGTCAACAGAGAATATCTACAACTTCAAAGACAACAGTGTCCTTGAGAAGGCCCGGATCCA